TCTGCGGGCTTCTGGGGGTGGAAGCTCTCCTGCAGCCCCCCAATTGCCCCGTCTCCCCAGATGGCAGCCTATGGCAAGTGCAGCCGGTCTGATGGCTGAGTGCTGTGATGTGCCCAGTGTGAACACTCAGGACACTCCAAGCCAGGACCGCTTTGCAAGCGGGGCACCCCTGAGAACTGTCTGTCCGGGGTGGGGGTCGGGTCCCTTTAAGCACAGCCCTCGGTTAGCCTGAGGCAGCAGCTCCACGCTCTAAGTCCTCATCTGATGCCCTGCAGGCACTGCTTCCGGCCATCCTTAACCCCGGTTCAGGGTCCACTTAATTTGGACATGCTAGTTCGAATTAGCAAAACACTAATTTGAACTAGTTTTTTAGTCTGGATCCATTAGTTCGAATTAGCTTAGTTCGAATTAACTAATTCCAACTAAGTTAGTTCAAATTAGCGCTGTAGTGTAGACATACCCACAGAGATTATGGTATTATACAGTGCACCTTGTGGAATGCAATAAGACACAGTACATGTAGAATCTTTTAAGATGGCTCTTTTCACTTTGGTGAAACATTGCCTCTTGTTATGCAGACACTATCCTCAGCAGCTTGGATGAGGCAAATAAGTGAAGACATGGCTGATAACTCATTAGCATCAGACCTTGGAAAAGATGTTTTGTCCCCTGCAGGAGAACAGCTTTTTGTCTCTGATTTAAACCAATTACTGTACAATATCATAAGTTTTACAGCAGATACAAATTCTCTCTCCCTGAAGCTGTAGACAAAAAAATAGAAAGGAAGCTCAATGAAACCTTTGCAATTCACCCCATTTGCCCCGACAGCATCATGCATATAACAGTCGTCTGCACTTTTGTTTCTGAAACAGGCTGTAGGAAAGGGAACACAGCTGATATAAAAGGTGCTAGTAAGCTCAGTTATTTCCTGAAGGTTACCATTAAAGGAGTGGAAACAACACGTCTTCCCTACTACTATTCACACCACCAACAAATGCAACCTAATGCCTGGCAGGCAAGAGTCAAAAATATAAGCTGTGGCTAACGAGCAATGTCAAGGTGGGAGATGCAGAGTGAAACTAAAAAAAGCAGAAGATATATCCTAAGGGGAAACTGCTGTGACATACTGAGGATGTCTAGTGGTTGCTGGCTTACTTGCCTGAATTTTATTTTGCTTTCCTTTAAGTCTCCACCTAGCTTCTCCTATCTCTGTACAAATTTGCTGCCATCAGTTATTATAATACCTTGAAGGCAATCTTTATTTATTTCTCTTACTTTTCCTTTACCCACTTCATATGCCTAACGTCATATTCATACCTTGACAGCTTCTGGAGAAGTAACCTCCTATCATCTAGTTGCAGTGCTCTGGAGTGGCTTAGGAAAACAGGATTTACCTAATTGGATCAGACTAGAGTTCCACCTACACCAGGATCTTGCTTCTTGCATTTGCCAGTACCTGAGTTTCCTGAACCTTTCAGGCTTTGATTTACATTGCACATGTGAGATTTCCTGGTCTTAGCTTGGTGTAAATGGCATTAATAAGCATAACATTAATCAATCTAAGCATAATTCTGTTTACCATCCTGTTCTGACAAACTAATTAAGCAATGAAGTGCACTAATTGGCTATATACTGCGTAAAGTAAAATAACTTTTAAGGTGAAAAGGCCGAAAAGCACCTCAAGATGTCATCTATTTCATCCCTCCACACAGAGGTGGAATTAAGCAGATCTAGGCCATCACTGACATATTTGTCTAAGATGTTCTAAAAAAATCTCATGGGATGGGGATTCCACAACTGGTGCTTAACTGTCCTTATTGTTTGAAAGTTTTTCTTAATAGGTAACCTAAACCTTTTTAAAACTAACAAACTGATTATTTTTTGCCCTACCCTCAATGGACATGGAGAATAATTGATCACTATCCTCATTATGACAATCTTTTACATATCTGAAGACTGTTACTATATTCCCCGATAGCCTCCCACTGTTTAAATGTTGACAATTCTTTTAGCCTCTAGTACTAGATCATAATATTTAATATAATCTTTCATTTGATTTCTTTTTACTGCCTTTTATGTAACTGTGTTTCATTATTTACTTGTACTCCTCCGTCTGTCTCTCCA